TGACTTTAGTAGCACTCTGAACCTCTTAATCTAATTAGAAAGTATTTTCCTTTTTTTTTTTAAATTATAGCCTCAGTGGGTGTCTTGATGGGACTCATCCCTTTTGTTGCCCTCCCACTCAAATTCCTCAATGTGTAAGAGATGGTTTGACAGTAGTGCATGCATGCTTGGGGAAAGGCAGGATGGGGGGGGGGCAGTGAGGAGAAGATTGCCTCCTACCTGCTCCTAAAGAGGTGGGGATTTCCCAGACTCCTAGGGAGCAATCTAGATTTTTTTGACTCAAATTCCTGTCTCCCCCAACAACCCAGGCTAGACTTTGGCCTGAGTCTGATGATGGAGGGAGGGTAGTGAGGACCAGGTAAGAACAGAATAAGGATTTTTCAAAAGCTGACCTCTGGAGCCCAAGGGTTTTAATCAAGTTTCGGGAAAGGATGGGGAGAAAAGTGGATGGCTGCTGATTTACTTAGGCACCCCAGTCCAGCTTTTGGTCCCTGAAGGGCACAAGAACTGCATAGGAGCAGAAGGAACATTCCATTCTGATGAGCCACGCATCCCCTATGGCAGGAGACTTGCTTCTCTTAATCTCTGCATGACTAGAACCGGGGTTCCATAAGAAGCCCAGTTTTTGTTGACACAAAATGATCCTGCAGAGAAGTTCCTTCTTGCCACCCTGTCTGTGTCAAGAAGAGAACATTGTCAGCAGCTGGGCCTTGACTCTTTTACCTTGGGCCTTAGATTTTAGGGTTTTTTTGAACCTTGAATGATCTCAAGACAGGTAGGTAGCACAGTGCAATAGTGTTGGACTTGCAATCAGGAGGACTTGAGTTTGAATCCTGTCTCAGACACTAGCTATATCATCCTTGAGAGGTCACTTAACCTCTGCTTGCTTCAATTTCCTCTTTGATAAAACTGGGGTAAAAATAGCACCCACCTTCCAAGGTTGTTGTAAAGCTCCAGTGTGATCTTTAAGTAAACCTTAAAGAGCTTTATAAACACTACCTACTCATCTCCTCCTTTAGCAGATGAAAACACTGGGGCTGAGAATAAAGGTATGGACTGCCTGAGATTATTCAGGTAAATAAACATTGGCCCGTTAACATTTATTTAAGTGCCTACTGTGTGCTAAGCGCTATGCTAAGTGCCTCCTAGTAAATAATATTGTAGTAAGGTAATAAAGCTAAGGTAGTAACAATGGATAGCTGTGGATAGAGCACCAGTTCTCCAATGGGGGAATCCTGAGTTAAAATAGGAACTCAGACACTTACTAGTTGTATAACCCTGAGCCTTAGTTTCCTCATCCATAAAATGAACTGGAGAAGGGAATGGCAAACCACTCTAGTAACTTTGCCAAAAAAACTAAACTAAACTAAAAAAAAAAAACAAATGGGGTCGCAGAGAGTCAGACACAACTTAAAAAAGACTGAACAACAACAGTGAACGATAGCATCAGGATTCAAACCGAGGAATTTCCACTGCATTCTTCGGAGGCAAACAGGGTGTTTGTGTGGCTTGAATATGTGGGTTGAAAATTGCTGTGATAGGGGCAGCTAGGTGGTGCAGTGGATAGAGTACTGGCTCTGAAGTCAGGAGGACCTGAGTTCAAATCCAGCCTCAGACCAAACACTTGACACTTACTAGCTGTGTGACCCTGGGCAAGTCACTTAACCCCAATTGCCTAAAAGCAAAAAAGAAAGAAAGAAAGAAAGAAAGAAAATTGCTGTGGTTGGGGCAGCTAGATGGAGCAGTAAAGAGAGCCCAGCCCTGGAATCAGGAGGACCTGAGTTCAAATCCAGTCTCAGACACATGATACTAGCTGTGTGACCCTGGGCAAGCCACTTAACTCAGATTGCCTGGCAAAAAAAGAAAAAAAAAATTGCTGTGCTTTCTTCCCCCCACCTGCTTGTTCAAATTGCCCACACCACAGCATTCTTTGAGCCCTCCTCAATGTCTAATACTTGAGGCTTTCACTGTCAACCCAGGGAGCTTGCTATTATCACACTAATACTGCAACTGAAGTAATCAGTCAATAAACATTTATTAAGCATTATTAGCAACGTGCCAGGCACGGACTAAGCTGGGTGCTTTGTAAACCTTAAAGCAATATAGAAACCAACTGTCATTATATCTTTAACAAGGTCGGTACCTTGGTGATTGTAATTTTCTGGCATTAAGAATGTGTGCATTTATTTGTTAAAAAGCACCCTTCTTTGTGCTGCTGCGGCACAGGCATGTGCCTGACATGCTCACCCCTAATCTTGGCTCTGCCTCTTCCTACTACCTTCTTGTGCCCTGCCCCTCTGGGCCCCAAGGACCTCTTCATCCCTCCTCTGCCCACCTGGAAGATAGCTCTTCTCCTCTTTCCTTCCCTGCTGTCAAGTTCCCCCCAAAAAAAAATAATCCCATTGTTTTCCTTCCAAACCATCGAGGCCCCCAACCTTGGTGTGGCTGAGCACACATCTCCCAACCCTCCAGCCTGCCGGGCTTTCCCTTCCTCTCTCCCGGATGGCTATTTATCTCCCAGAAAAGCCTCTTTCGGCCTCCCTAGGGACCTAAGCAAACAATTTTCGCCTTTCTCTCTGCCCCCTTTCTTCCAGTTAACCAACCCAGCTGTATGCTAATGGTGGAGCAAACTATTGCTACTTAACTCTCCTGGACTGAGTAAAAGTTGGGGTGGGGGTGTGATGGACCCTGGCACATTGTTACAGCCCCTCTCCCCTCCCTCATGCTTGCATAGCACCCCCTCCCCCTCTGGACAAAGCAGAGCCCTTGACAATAGCCCGCTTCCAGTTAGTTCACTTGTAATTCAGCGTTCTAAGGATCCCTGCACTGCCCCGGTCCCCTTTGTCTGGGTTTTTTTCCTCTGCCCCCATTGTCCCAAGTCGGGTTTTTTGCTGGGGCTTGGCAGCTGACCAGGGACGCTTTTCTCCTTCTCTACGGGGCCTTTGTCCAGCTTCTGATTGAGATTTTTTTTCTTCCCACAACCAAAGCCTCCCTTCCTTCCCCCTTCCCCCAAACTCTCCTCAAAGCATCTTCTCCCCCCTTCCACCTAGGAGGGAAGCCCCACCCGGGACAACCACCAGATGCTGGGAATTAGCTATGTAAATAAGGGAGTGTTGGCGAGGCAGGTGGCGCAGGTACCCGGTGGGGGCAGGCAAGGGCCTTTGGCTGGGCTCCAAGCTACTGGGGCTGTGGGTGACTTAGTGAGTTACCTGGCCAGGGGTGGGAGGGAGCAGGCCGTGTGTCTGTGCGTGTGTGCACAGGTGCAGGCGGGCCGGCCAGGTTGGGCTCGTGCCGGAGACGAAGCAGCTGCCAGGCATGACCTTCGGTTGTTCAGCAGATGGGTGAGGCTTAGATGGGTGTGCGGAGGTGGCTCTGAGGCCCTCTCTTTCTAGGGGAGGGTAGAAGGTAAACACTGGCCCTCCTGCTGCCAGTTAGGAAAGAGTCATCTCCGAAGGAGAGAAAGGGCAGAAAGTAGAAGTCTTTTATACAGACATAAAAAGTTTAGAGCCAAAATCCACCTTTTTTTTTTTCAAGGTAATTATTAGAAGTAAGAATATTCGGTTTCTCTGAACACTTTCAGGTTAGAAGTCCTAACTGTTCCTGCTTCTGAATGCCCTTTGTGACAACAAGAAAATACTTTAGCTATTCTAGTCCAAACATGGACAACAGCCCCAAGCTACTCAGTTTTTATGGTGGGGGAAACTGAGTCAAGACTAGATCTCAGTTTCTGACTCAACCTCAGGATTCTTTCAATTATACCTTGCTGCCCCTATTTTAACAAATATTTATTTAGTACTCTCAATATACTAAGTGGAGGAGAAGGGGTAAGGATATCATTGTGGATAGAAGACCTGGGATCTAATCCCCACCCAGATGAGGGTTTCCTCATCTATAAAATGTGGTTAATAACACCTATCTCTGGACTGTTGGGAGGTTCAAGGGAGATAAATGTGTAAAGCCTTTTGCAAAATTGAATGGCATAGAGATAGGGAGGGGGACAGGACCTTTGATTTCATTTCATTGCTACCACTTAGGGCTTTTGGGAATTGCCTAAATTGACCTAAACTGACCTGTTAAACGACTTGCCTGGGGTCACACGGCCAGTGTGTCAGAGGTGGGATTTGAATCCAGATCTTTAAGACTCCAAGGTCTGCTCTCTATCCATTAAGTCAAGTGGCCTCAGCTCAAACCTAAAGCCTATCTAAAATGTGAGCTTTTGTTATGATGTGCATTGTAGGTGTGTTAAATTGAATCAAATCTAGATGATGGAGATCCAGTCCCTGCTCTCCAGGAGAGAAGCTTCTCTTCTAGTTAGGGAGATTACCAAGTGAGACATATATGTCAGTATTCTAGCTTTCAGAGAAGAGGGAGACTAATGCTAGCTATGGTGGTCAAGAAAGACTTCCTGGAGGAGGTGGTAAGCTGAACCTTAAAAGGTAGGTAGGGTTTAGATGGAGCAGCTTGGTGGTGCAGTGGATAGGACACCAGGTTCAGTTGGAAAGATCCAAGATCAAATCCAGCCTCAGCTGGATTTGCAGCTATGTGATCCTGGACGAGTCACTTATCCCTATCAGCCTCAGTTCCTCATCTGTAAAATGAAGGCATGCTGGAGAAGGAAATGTCAAACCACTGCATTATCTTTGCCAAGAAAACCCGTGGACTTTCATGAGGTCACATAGAATCCTATGCACCTGAATAACAAGGACAAGGGCTTAGACAGATGGGAGGCTTTAGTTCTTGTGTCCCTGCAGGAGTTTCTGTGAGCCCCTAATAAAAGGGCTTCCTCTAACTTTCCTAAGTCGGTGAAGAGCAAACAGTTCCTCTGATTTTGAGCACATTCATGCCTCAGAGCTCTTAAGAGGAAGAGCTGAAGGTCTGAGTGGGGCACACCCAGGGCTCACAGTAACAAACGGTAGCTGAAAACTCTACCTCTCACTCCCAAAACAGAGCTTTGGGAGCCAGGAATGTGGCTCATAGAGATGTTTTCTTTTTTCTTTCAGACTTTCATCTTCACAGATGGGGAGGATGAAGTGCTGAAGCAACACACAGGTAAATCTCCCAGTCACTGAGCATTTCTTTTCCTTTTTGGGGGAAGAGAATCTTGGCCCTCCCAGTTCTCCTCTGAGTGCCCTTCTTTGGGGAAAGGGCCATCCTGTCCTATTCTCTGAAGGAAGAGTAGGGAAAAGGGTTTCCTGAGCCACTCAAGGGGCTCAGGTGAAGGATCTGCAGGTAGGGAGGTTCTGCAGGCAAAGGGCTTAGGGACATTTGGGGGGAGGGAAGGAAGATTCTGGCCCTATTACGCAGAGGAGGGGAGAACCTGCCCTGGTCAGTCTAAAGTTCTTTCTGGTTTCCTCCCCGAAAAGAAGAGAGATTCTCCCTGGACGGGGTGGGGGTGGCTGGGTAGATGGGAAGAGGTTTACTCCTTGAGTGTTTATTCAGCAGCCAGCTCCTCCAGTCTGGGTCAGGTCTCCCCATTCTTCTCATGTAAATGATTCCCTTTCAGGCCTTGAATTAATTCCCTTTGAGAGGGCCCAGCAAGTAACAGGTGGCTAGTGCTGGGAAAATACAGACTGAATAGGGGAGGGCAGGGCTCTGGCTCCCACAGCCCTCCTGGAGCCTCCCAGCCCTCTTCTCTCCCCTTTCCCTGGGAACACTCCTCCATCGCACCCTGTCTGCTGGGGCCTGGGGTCCCCTGGCTCTTCCTTCCCTCCTAATCTCCAACCAGTCTTTTGAGTCAAAGCACACCTACTTGAACAGGGCACGTGAAAAAGGGGATCTAGGTACAATCTACCTATGACTTTCTCCAGTCTGTGATTGTCCCTGTTTCACACCACTCAGAACCACTTAGCTAACAGTTCAGATCCCACCACCTACACTTACTAACTTTGTAACCCTGGGCTAGTCACTTAACCTCAGTAGGCCTCAGTTTTCTCAACGTAAAATGGGAATTATAATAACCCTCCCCTCCCCCCCATGGTTGTGAGGATCAAATGAGATAATATTTGTAAAAAGCACTTAAAACAATGCTTAGCACATAGTAGGTACTTTTAAAATGTGTTCTCCCTTCTACTGGCTGTTTTCGTCGTTGAGTCGTTTCAGTTGTGTCCGACTCTTCGTGACCCTCATTTGGGGTTTTCTTGGCAAAGATACTGGAGTGGTTTGCCATTTCCTCCCATTTGCTCTATCTCGGTGAGGTATTGCTCAGAAATATTTTAAGTGTGCCTCACAGGCATCAGGAATCATTACTTACAAATGTCTTCTCTCTCCACAGGCAACTTCATCAATACCAACTGTTCTGCAGCCCACAGCCGCCAGGCCTTATCCTGCAAGATGGCGGTGGAATATGACAAGTTCATTGAATCAGGAAGGAAGTGAGTAACATTTGAGATTTCTTGTCACCTTATCCTCTCTTTCCCTCTCCCCCAAAAGTACCATCATCCCCATTTTATAGAAGAGAAAATTGTGGCTCGATGAGTAAAGCCATTCCTTCAGTATTCTAAAAATAAGAAAACCAGGACTGAGATCTAAGTCTTTTCTATCATATCCACTCACTCCAAGAGTACTTTCCCATTAAAAATGTCAGCCTTTTGTGACAAGAGCAACCAAACACAAGGCTGTGGATGACCTAGTTCAATTCATCCCCACTCCTAGAATACATTCCTAGGAATACCCCCTTCCTATGTCTGGGAGGTAAAGGATGTCTTCCCATATATTATATAGTAGGGAAAAGGGAGATTCTGGGGTTGTACTAAGGGCTGAGATGACAAACCTAAGGATATTTGGTTCCTTTCTTGGCCCTCTCCCTGATCCCCAGCCTGCCCACCAGAATCTCTGTAACCATCCCGCCTATATTTCCTTCAGGTGGTTCTGCCATGTGGATGATGACAATTATGTTAATGTTCCAACACTTGTCAAGCTGCTGTCCAGCTACCCTCACACTCAAGATGTCTACATCGGCAAGCCCAGTTTGGATCGGCCCATCCAGGCCACAGAGAGGATCAGTGAGAACAAGATGGTAAGCGATCGGGGCCACGGAAGGCCAGTATCAAGATGGAAACTTAGGGGTGAAGCCCGGATCATAGATTCAGAATCATAGAAGACCTTAGACCATTAGGTCATCTAGTCTGACCTCCTTTTACTGTTGAGAAAATTGAGGCCCAGGCCTAAAAGTTAAGTGATAAGTAGCAAATGTGGTGACTTGCTCAAGGTCACATGGCCAAATCATAGGTTAGAACCCAATTTTTATTGCTGTTTGTTGTTTTAAATCATCCTAGGTCTGGTACATCCCTTTCTAGAACATATTAGGACAAAGGGTCACCATTGCTCCTAGCTTAGAAAGACCACTCTCAGGTATCTGATACAGAAATGACATTGGGGTATCTTCCTTACAGCGTCCTGTTCACTTCTGGTTTGCAACTGGTGGGGCTGGTTTCTGCATCAGCCGTGGACTGGCTTTGAAGATGAGTCCCTGGGCAAGGTAAGAGGGTTTCATTCAATGTCTGCAAATTTCATTTTTCTCCAGCACCTAGAATGAGTGGGGGGCTTGGGACAGGGTCTTGAGCTTCTTCCTCAAGTGGCATCTTTGGATTCCATTTATTCTCCTTTCTCTGTCTAAACTCCCGTTACATATTTCTGAGCCATTCAGCTTAGAAACAGGCCCAGGAACAAAGGTGGGGAAATGCTATTTGCCTTTATTTTGTATACTTCAGTGGGTTTGAGAAAAATGCTAATGAAACCTAATGCATACCCTTGAAGCTCTGTTTTGGTGGTGGTAGTATTAATCATTTTAATGAACCCATAAAGTATACATTTATTTTTTATAAATTTCCAAAGTACATCTTAATACTTTTTTCAGAAGCTATTTGGTATAGTGGGAAAAGCCCTAGACTTGAAGCCAAGAGAAACTTGGGTTTCACACTTACTCATGTGTGTCCCTGGATGACACACTTAGTCGCTGTGCCTCAGTTTTCTTATCTATAAAATGGTGATAATAATGATTGCACTGCCTACTTCACGGGGTTCCTAAGAGGATCAAATGAGGCAACATGTGGAAAACATTTTTCAGATCTTTAAAATACCATGTAAACTGGAGTTATCTCCTGTGATCTAGTTAGAAATTGTCTTACAGTAGTCCTGACTCACTTATTCATAGTTCTTTACCTCGTTCTTTCTTCACTACTCTCCTGTAAGGGGAGTTAATCTAGTATTGTCTCCATTTTAAGTTTGGGGAAAATAAGAATCAGATTGGCTAAGGGACTTGTCCAGGTCCTCATATTCTACAAGGTGGCAAGAGTCAGGATTCAAACCCAGGTCTCTTCACTCCAAAGTCCCGAGCCCTCTTTCTATTATACTGCCTCTGAGAACTTCAGGGCTATTATTATGAACTCATACACTTCTCCTCACTCAAACTTTTCTGTTGGTTTTGAATTCTGGATAAATTGGTGTTTGTGGTTATAATCTGTTAACCTTTTATTTGATAGGGTTTCAAGGCCACACCCACAGAGGCTACTTAATTCTTCCATCCTCTATTCTTGCCTTTCCCTTGGTTGCCTCCCAGATAAACAATGGTGCCCCAGGATATGAATTCTTCAAGATCCAGTGAGACATAACATTTGTAAAACACTACATAAATGTCAGCCGCTATTACCACTAATGTGGTGTGAATGATGTATCTGTTTACCGGGTTTTCTTTCCCCTGGGATGGGTAAAAGGAAAAGGCATGCATACACACACTCTTCAGCCAATTATATTCTTTCCCTCATTCTAAGAATAGTCAATTCCATTAGGCCAAACTAGGCTGGTTACGATCCTCTTCCTCTCTTCTCTGGGGCTCCCTCACTCTCTGGGAATTCAGACTAGGGGAGAAACAAGAGAGGTGACCCTCCACATTCATCTCATCTCTTCTTCGCTCAGTGGGGGCCACTTCATGAACACAGCAGAGAAGATCCGACTGCCTGACGATTGTACCATTGGCTACATCATTGAATCTGTGTTGGGTGTGAGGCTTATTCGAAGCAACCTATTCCATTCCCACCTGGAGAATCTTCAACAGGTGCCCAAGTCAGAGCTCCATAAACAGGTATTTGCTCCAAAATTCTTAATTAACCCACTCCCAAAAGGCCATGAGAGGGTGAGAAATCAACCCACAAATTATAGGCTAATAGACTTATGTCTGGAAGGTGCTTTAGGACAGCTAATCCCACCAAGCCTCCCTCTCCCCTCCACCCACAGATGGAGAACCTAGAGAGACCTAGAAAGGTTATGACTTTCCTGAAATCGCAAAAATAGGAAGTAGAATCATCAGGTACCCCAAGGGCCCAACAGCCTACCCCAGCCCCAGGCAAAGGGCTTAGTGTATGGCAGGAACTGTGCTAAACTTTTGGATACAAATACAAGCAGAGAAGAAAGTCAGTTTTTGGCCTCAAGGAGCTTACATTCTAATCAGGGAAGGCATTAAAAAAAAAAGGAGTAGAGAATTGGGGGCCAGGAGAGGTAGAGGCACCCACACAAGGAGGGTAGCCCCAGATAGCCAAGGCCATGAACACAAAGTTTACATTTTCCCCATATTCCTCCTGAATCTCTCATGGCATTTGTCATAAGCTGGGCACACAATGGGTATATTTATAAATTTAAAGAGATTTGGTTTGTAAATTAAAGAGATCATACCTAAGTGTGAACAACTATTTAATAATAAATACAGTATAGGAGCTGGACCTGTTGTCATTGACATAGGGAATTCCCAAGATTAGAAAGCTGCCTTTGCCAACTCGGGTCTCTGAATTTTATAATCTTAAAAGAATTACCTAGATTGCTGAGAAATTAAGTGACTTGCCCAGGGTTACAAAGTCAGTATGTATGTGTCAGATGTAGGACTTGAACCCAAGATCCCTTTGGGTCTGAGGCCTGCTTTTTATCAATTATGCCCCACTACCTCAGTCCCAATTTTGAATACGATGATAAAGAATAGGAATTTTGAAAGTGGAAAGGGTCTTAAAATGATCTAGTCCTGGAATCCATGAACTTGGTTTTGGGGGGTTTTTTTTGTATTTTGATAACTATATTTCAATATAATTAGCATACTTTGTTGTCCTATGGATTTCATTTTATACATTTTTAAAATGCTATTCTGAGAAGGGGTTCATAGGCTTCAGATGAGCCCATGGCACACAAAAAAAGACTAAAAATTCTAGTCCAACCTGCTTTTCCAGATCAATTATATGCTAGGCACTAAGGATCCAAATACCAAAATTGTCTAGATAGTCACTGCCCCCAAAGAGTTTACGTTCTATGGGCATGGTCCTTAGCCCTAAAACTGCCAATGCAGCTATTGATCGTTCCTATTTCTGGTCATTAGGTGACACTGAGCTATGGAATGTTTGAAAACAAGAGGAATTCCATCCATATGAAAGGCGCATTCTCTGTGGAGGCTGATCCATCCAGGTGAGACAAAGGTCCCCAACCTGGGCCTTCCCCCTGCCCACTCACTGGAGGCCCAGGAAAGGGTCTTCGGAGGTGCTGATACACAGATAAAGACACCCATCTGACAGCCATCACACCTGCCAGACACCCAAATGGGTCGAGCCTTTACCACACTTTTTGGGTATTTCCCAAGATTTACTGTTGCCCCAAAGTGTAATGATCTCCCTAAGGAGAAAGGTAGTGTCAAATTCCTTATCACTGGAAGTCTTTTAAGTGTGGAAGTTGGATGGCTACTTCTAGGGGACAGAGGGGATTATAGAGGGAATTCTTGATTGCCTTAGAGGTTGCCACCAGATGGCCTCTGAGGTCCCATTCAAGTTTCAGAATCTCAGCACCTCACTTTTAGGTTTAAAAAATATATATTGACATTGTCTGCTGTTGGTTTTGAAAGCTTCTGCTTCAGGGAGAGGGCACTAGGAGAACATACACTCCTTAATTTAGGAAAGATTCCATGATGAGTTCATACTTTTAGGTTACATACACCAAGGGTTAGGGGCCACTTAAGGCTTCTCCAAAGCTTTTGCCCCCAAAGACTTCCAAACATAAATTTTTCATTATGAGACCCTCTAATTTCTTTAGGATGAGTCCAGGGGATGTTTTCTTGTTGTTGATTGGAAAAATACAATTTAATTAAATTTTTAAAATATTTATAGTCTGAGAGAGTTGCCTGGGGTACTGAGAGCTTGTCAATCGGTCAACAAGCATTTTTATGTACCAGAGCACTGTATTAAGTAGTAGAGATTTTTGAAGAAGGGCAAAAACACAGTCTCAATCTTCAAAGAGCTCACATTGGAATGGAAGACACAGCAGGTAAATAACTGTGTATATGAGATAGGTAAAAAGCAGAGGGAAAGTAATCCCATAAGAAAGGCCCTAGTAGCCTCAGACCAAACACTTCACACTAGCTGTGACCCTGGGCAAGTCATTTAACCCCATTTGCCTGAGAAAAAAAACAAAAAAAGAAAGCGGAAGAGACTGGGGAAGACCATGTTGCTAGTGTTATGTCACAGGTGGCCTGGAACTCGGTCCTTTCTGACTCAGAAGCCAGCCCTCATCCATGAAGCCATACAGCCTTGCCACCTGGCTTCAGATCCTGGGCCTGTGGTCTTACATTTTCATGGTGGGCCAACAGAAAATGATATATAAGCAGCCCCCTTCTTGGTGTCTACATCATGATCAGGATCCACGTTCTCAAGACTGACCCTTGCTTTTCTCTCTCCTTTCATTCCACAGGTTCCGCTCTATCCACTGCTTGCTGTACCCGGACACTCCGTGGTGTCCTCGTAATGTGGTCTACTAGGAGACTTCACGTCTGTCCTTTAACCCTAGTCCCTGAGCTCCCCTGGTATCCAAAGGGCTCGTGGGACCTGTGTCGTGTTCTTGTCCTTGCTGTGCCCGTCATGCACAGTATGTGGGTGTGTGTGTTTGTGTAATAGGCTGCTGTGTGGCCCATGGTTACTGAGCTGGGGTGGGGAAGGAGGTAGGGAGACAAGGGGTGTCTCTCTGGACCCTGCCTTCTCCACTGTCTTCTCATCCTGGAGGAAGAGGAGACATTAAAGCCTGGAAGAAAACAAAGAAGAGTTAGGCAGAGAAGGTGTTGCCATCGATGAACCTGACGTGCTTCCCAATGGCAGTGCTAGAAGTTGTCCCAAGATGGTCTTGGAGCTGTATTGTCTGTCTCCTGTATCAGCTGCTTTCTCTCCAACAGGACCGATTTTTCCTCTGGTGCTGCTGTCTTTAAGTCACTCCTGGGTGACTTTCTTAACCCTTGACCACCATTCCTACAACTGTCTGAATCATCTCTTCTTTTCATGTTATATTCCAGGCTCCAGATCCTATCCAGATGAAGGTTTTTATCTGTAAGAGGTCAATTGGGGTGGGAGGGAGAAGAGGGGAGAGCAGGGGGATTTAAAAGATTTCTAAACGTCTATCCTGACTCAAGAGGATGGGGTGCATTGCTAGGTGTTGCTGCAAGTGATGGGAGAAACAGATCCCTTTTACCTGAGATCCTCAGTCTCCTGGGAAGTGGCATATTCTGGAATAGAGGAGAGAAAAAGAAAGAGAAAGTGTGAGTGAGTGTGTGTGCACATGTGCACATGTGAGAGCTGTGGCCACCTCTCAGGACCCCAAGTTCACTGAAGGGAGACAAGGCCTAGAGCAGAGGGGCAGAGGAAAGAGGAAGGCCCAGAATCATTTGCTCCATCCATTGGGGCTTACTATAATTGACTGAACTATTTTCAGTCCCAGATAGCTATGCAGTATTTATATGCAATTAACCATCAGCGGTTAATTGAAGAGAAATAGAGAGATGTATGATGGTATTTTGTTATTGTTCTAAGGGATGCTAGGGTTAGGATGGAGAGAGACAGATGGGCATATGCCAGGATGCATGTCGATTATTCTGTCTTAGGGTTCAGCGTCTCCCTTCAGGACCAGGCATCTGCCCAGTTATACCTTTAGGAAACTTTTCTTAATGGGAAGGGGATAGAAATGCCCTGTAACTTCCCTATTGTTACCATCAAGCAGCAAATGGCCTTTGAATTCATGGTTCAAGGTGAGCTGAGCAGTGCTTAGGTCCAGGGAAATGACGAGGTCAGCAGTCCAGAACGAGACTCTTAGCTGTGGCTTCAGTCCTTGCCCCCATCCCAGGCTGTGAGGAGCCATTGGGGCCCTCCACTATTCAAGGGCACCTGACCACATCCTGGGGCTGGGGGTGAGAAGGGGATTGCTACTCCTAATGCAGCTCCTGGGATGGGGACCTCCATCTTTGACCCTGCATTTGGGGTCCTCAGGTTAATATCTGAGTGTTCCTGGGTGGCTGAGCCCAGATTCTTTGCTTTGTCTCCTTCCATAAATGGGCAGAGTCAGAGCTGAATATTCCCTATCTGAGGTTGAGTGAATTGGCCCATACTGGGTGCGTCTGTAAATATTGTACTTGAACAGTATTTTTTTTACTGTTATCTTTTAAAAGAGAAAAAAAAAGAAAAAGAAAAGTAGGGTTTTTTTTGTTGTGTGTATTTTACCTTTTCTGTGGATCAGAAAAAAACAAAAACCAACCTTCTGATAATCTTGTTTTTAAAATGAAATTGGAATATCATATAACTCTCTACTTATTTATATGTTCCAGCATCTGGAATCTCTCTGTTCTTTTTCCTACTTAGTCCCTTTTCTGTTTGTATGTATGTATTGGTTTTGTTGAATTGTTGTTGTTGTTTATTGTTTTGTTTTTTTACAAAAACATAGATAGGAAAAAAAAGGGAAAAAAAAGTTCTCAGGGAATTAAACCTTATTGTTACTACCATGGTCACCCTGTGGTACCCAGAATTCTTTGCTTTCAATAAAGCAGCTTTATTTGCTGATAACAACTATGTGATGTGGTCTTATATGCTGGCGTTCACTCACTTATTCATATTTCTAAAGCTCTCTTCACAATCGCCCTTTGAAGTAGGCTGTGCAGGTACTAGCATTCCCATTATACAGATGAGGCTCATGAAAACTGATTTGTTGCAGGTCCTTTAGCTAATAAATCACACACCTGAGGCTTGAACCTCAATCTTCTTATATATCATATACACACTAGACCGTGCTCCTGCATATGCAACTGAAGCTTTGTACTATTCAGATTCCTCATCTTAGTATCAATGTAGCAATAAAATCTGTGTTGAAAGGACCCCAAGTCCAACCGTAACCCAGAAGAAAAAGCCCTTCTACAACATAACCTGACAAATGGTCATCTAGGCTCTGCTGGAAGACCTTCAAGCATGGAGAACCCACTAGTTCTCAAAGCAGTTGAACATTATGCTTTTGGATATCATTGGTTGACAGAAAGGTTTCCCCCCTCCCCTGAAAAAAAAAAGCCAAAACTGGCCTTTTTTGCATCTTTTACCCATTGTATTTGGTTCCACCTTCTAAAACCAAACCAAACAAGTCTGACGTCCCTTATATGTTGACAACCCTCCGAATACTTGAATTATGTCCACTCTGAGTATTCTCTTCAAGTATCCCTTTCATTGGTCTCCATATGATATATAGGGTATTATCCTCAAAACTGAGCACCCACTGTTTAGACTGCAAGTGCTTACCCTATAAGAAAGCCATTGCATTTCTGAAATGGGTGGTAGCAAATCTGCCTGTGACCTTGTCCCAGTGGATGGTAATTTCGTGGAGAAATCCTGCAATGCTAGTTCTGTGACTGGGATAAATTAAACATCTCTTGGTCTAGGAGGTATACAGATAAAGACAGTCCTGTGAGAAGCTGAGGACTGAGTTGGATTACATGATGCACAGGTGAGCTTGACATCTGATTACATACAACAGGGATGAGAAAAATATGGTGCCATCAAACAACTCTAACCAATTGTTACCCGGTCTGTTTCAATGCTGTGCCATTGTGAGTTAGGAGTTACAACTCGTCTAGGGGCAGCTAGGTGGTGCAGTGGATAGAGCACCGGCCCTGAAGTCAGAAGGATCAGAGTTCAAATCTGGTCTCGGACACACAACACTTACTAGCTGTGTGACTCTGGGCAAGTCACTTAACCCCAGTTGCCTCTCCAAAAAGCAAAAACAAAAAACAAACAAAACAAAAATACTGGAGATACTTGGGTTGGTGTTAGCTTACAGCTAAAATTCAATAGAATTTTCATGACTTGCCGGAATGAGCCTCAGAAATAATTTGGTACACACACACACACACACACACACACACACACAGAGGAATACCTGAAGTGTTTTCCCCTGCTTTGTCTTCTTACTTTGTTGTTGATCGAGAAGAGCAGTTTGAAAATGTGAGTGGGGTATGTTTAAACTGTACATAATAGATTTGTGGTCTTATCTGCAATCTTTTTCTGTTCTTGGCATATGGAAATGTCCATTTTTTGATGTTTGTCAAGTTTAGATAACACCAAAATTTTTTTAATTAAAAAAAGGGGAGCATTTCTTTTTTTTTTGTTCCCACCTCAGAGCCTGAGTAGCCCTGATTTTATTTAGCTGAAGATTCTTACCATATTCCTGGGACCTGAGGGTGTTGTGGTCTAGGGGTCTTAGGAACTCCAAAATGCAAGGATAAAGGGCTTGTATACCTTCTGGAGAATGGCTTGAGATTAGGCAGTTTCCCAGTCAGGGAACCATAATGTTAGGTCTTGGGAACCCCAAAATGCAAGGGTAAAGGGTGTGAGTCTGTCTCAAAAGAATTTGACCCCTCAGGCCTTCTTTCAGTCCAAGACAGGGTTTATTATGTTGCCAATAGAAGCAGGACAGATTTTAAGAATCTGAGCTATTTAATAGGGGTAAGACTGATATTTTACACAGAAAGACTGTGGGAAGATCTGGATGGGATGAAGGAGTGGCAAGTAGCCTGGGGTGGGGCCAGGTGCAGACAATGGAAGGAGTCAAGTGGCTGGAGAGCCACAGTGAAAGGGCAGTTGAAAGGATTATTGACTTGGAAGGGTGATGCTTCAGGCAAAAGCCAGGGACCTGGGCCATGTGGGAAAGTCAAGGGCCTTTTAGGGGTCCATCATTAGTGCCCCACCATTCCCCCCCTCAAACAAATGGGATCCAAATTCTTTTGGGACAAGGGGCAAAGGTCTTGGCTTCTGAAAACACTGCTAGAAAGGGGTGTAGAGCTGTCCCTGTCTCAAGGGGTTCCCAGACAGGAGGTTGACTGGAACTGAACACAGGCTGCATCCAGGGGACAATGGGGGGACATTGGCTGGCACCCACTGTTTGCTACCAAGTGTAGGTGAATGGCCTGTAGTCTAGAAGACACAAATCTGACCAGCAAGTCTGACAAACTAGTTCAATATGTAGGGCTCAAATATAGGGAGAAGTAAAAGTGATGTCAGAATGGGGGAAATCAAGGAAAGAGCCCCATTAGAATCATTTACATTTGACATAAGGCTTATCTGATCTTGTTACTGTCTCAAAAGTTTCCATCGATTCCAGTTCCTTTAGGAAGATCAGATGCTATTGGGAAGTAACAACACTTTTTCAAGTAGAAGTTTTCCATTCTTGGCCAGAGACTGACTTTTATTCCAATTATAAGAGAAGACTTGGGAAGATAAGTAATGATTAGTCCAGATAGGTTACCTCTCTCTAAAAAAGCTGATTGCACTGAAATTCTCTTCCCCAAACCAAACTGAAGATATTTCTGATTTAATCTAGGTAATTTGGGATATGGAATGATTACACATTCAGGTCAAAACAGCAAGATCTCTCATGCTTGCATTGTGCTTATCTCTTTTACTGACCATTTGCTCTGATTATAGAAATTTGCTATGAAAGGGTGAAGCAGGAATAGGATTAACACCAAGTATAACAGGATAAAATATCCTTAGAACTCAGATAATTCATTTTTCCAACCATGCAGTATCAATTCCACCTCATAACAGCCAGGTGGATAGCATTCCTTTTCAAAAAAACACGATGGGGAAACTGAGCCAGAAGGATCCCATCTTAGACTGAGGCTAAAATTGTCCTCTCAGCTTTTCCCAGATGCAGACCTCTCACCTATATCACATTCTGAGTAGCTTGTGGTATTTCTCTCAGATGGTGGATTGTTGACTATTGATTATCAATGAATCTTTATGATCCCTCAGACAACTCAGAATAAAATCAGTTATGTTCCACGAGCTTTTGCCTAAAATAGCACATTTCATTAATCACAGCTTAGGGAAAAATTTACCAGGATTTACATCTCAAATTTAAATTTGTCCTGGTGTAAAAGCCAATCCTTAAGAGATCATTTCCATATACTTGCAAATTCTCAGCAAGCCAAGTTCATTGTTTAGGAACTCCATAACCCAAACAAGCTTTTTGGCAAGTTTACAAAAGAAAGGAGGATCAGCAAGGACCCCAGAGAAGGGGCCTCCTATGCATGCCATCTACCCTTAGAACTGCTATGGACTGTGCCTTTTAACTAGCCCTTGAGGACTGCTCTGAATGGGCAGAACCAATATGGATAAAGCTTTCACCTCATTCCCCCCCTCCCTTTCCACATACAGTAATCAATTACCAAGTTTAAGTTTTAGCATTAAAATAATAACCAATAATCTTACAATTTTCACAAGAGATAGACAAGTTGTTTTAGCTATAACACAAACAATAAACTTCAGGTGACATCAATTGCATTTCCAGATCATATAAAAATTATTCGTATAAGGATGGGCTTACTTGCCAATTACCAAGGCTGGCTGGCTTCTTTACCTCATGCAGCCTTGGCCCATCTCACTTTCCTCTGCCTCTGGAGCTGCTGGAGCAGGGAAGTGGGGTGGAGTGAGCAGGATGCACTGAAACTGGGTGATACTTCCCAGGCAAACTACAGGGTGTCCCTGGGCCCAGAACCATTACCAGTGGGGCCCACACTGTAGCTGCTGCCCCTTCCCCCTCCTTCCTTTCGCCAGGTGGAGAAGGGTGAATTCAAAGGTGGGGGAGAAGGATGAAACTCTCTTCTAGTCTGATCTGGGATGAGAAGGGTTAACAGAAAAAACCCAGAGCTGATTGTTCTCCCCACACCGAGACACCCTCTTGAATCAAGAGAAGGAGTAGGGGAAGGGAGTGACCAGAGTTCTAAGGAGGTGTTTCAAAACTCCTTGATGATCAATTACAAAACCTCCAGAATCTGCTAAAATGTTTTTAGCAGTTCTGACTTTTCACTGTAGCCTTAGCCTGGTCAGAGCCAGGACTATAGGAAGAAGAATCTTAAGAATTCTTTTTCTGAACTTTTACAATTTTTCTTGTTCATCTAGATCATGTTGAGACCAGGCACAAAGCTTTCCTTTTCAAAGTCTTGGAGGCTGAGCTTTTTCCAATTCTAACCTAAGGTCAGATCTCTAGGAAGCCCCGTTAAGTCTGGCTTCGAGGATCTGGTGGCCATGAGGCCAGGAGAGAAGGTGGATCCTGCAGGTATGGGTGTGGGGATGGGGAGTCCTTCCATGAAGGAGGATCATGGGGTATGGAGTAAGCCTCAGGAAACAACAACCAAAAAAATCATCTGCAGTTTTTCCAAGTTCCTAGCCTCCTA